GTGGGTCATTATAGGATTGAAACTGGAAACAAGATTCAAGAAACAAACTCCCACATTATTTCTGTTTATTTTACCTCATTTTCCTTTTCAAATGGATAGCTGTTTCAAATGTACCTGAGATTATCAGATAAATCATGTTTTATTCAGTGCATAATATGCCCTGTCTAAACGTATTTAATTATATAATATATAGGTGCAACTCATAATCTTTTTATTTAATATATTATTTCCTGGGTTTCTTTCCTTCATTGACTGATACATCTATTTACAATCATATGGATTGTAGGCTGATAAACAGGTGTGTAGCAGATTTAATCAAAGCTTGTACAAACACATTTCCTGCTTATCCATCTTGTCTTATGCATCTTCAGTATATTATAATGGGAGAGATGTTTCATCACAAAGGTATTCTACTAAGCAGAATGTTCTCTTATCAAGTATTCTCCATTCTCCAGAGATCGTTGTAGTAATTTCTTGGCAATGGTAGTGGAGGGGCAGCAAAATAGTTCTCTGAACAGAAGACGATATTTCTACATATTTTACCCATTCTTGAATATCCTGAATCACAATGATTTCAAATTATGTGCCTGGAAATACCTATCTTCAACAAAGGTTTGAATTTACTACTTGAATTCATTTTTCTATTTCTTTGCTTGTTTTAGGGTCACAAATTTTGCATCAAATTACTTCCCATATCCCAGTAGGAACAGCATCTGGCCAGAATATCTACCATTGACATGCCCCCCCCCATCATGGTTTATGGAGCAGTTACGGTATATAATCAAAGTCCTACCTGAAAACAAGCTAGGAAAATAGGACAGAGGAGGAAAAAATGAAGTGGCAGATCAGACCAAAAATGGCAGAAAACAAACACTATGTGTTTTGGGGACAAAAAGAATAGAAAGCAGACGAACAAATAGAATAGGTTAAAAAATTTATACCCTAGTATTAAGGAGGACAGAGAAAATCAAATCAAATACCTTCATTATGGTCGTGATGTAGGATATTGCACAAGACAAGGATGAAACTTATTGACTATTCATCAACTGAAATTGCAAGTTTAAAATTCCATACTGTAAATAGTTATTTAGAGTACTGTAATGTTTAGAATAGGGTTTTGCAAGCTGAAGCTTTGTAGAATTTGCTTATTTCTTTAATAAATACACAATAGCACAATAATAAACTGGATGAACCATAACTTGGGCCAGGAAGAGATGAGAACTAGTGAGCTGTTGGTCTGACTAACTGTCATCTGCCCTTCAGAACCACCTTGGTCTACCTAGATCTAAGGCTAGTTTGTGAAGATAAACATCCCATCTGAAAGAGCTTTTTGAAAAAAGTAGAGCTGTTGTTCTTCAAAAGTTTAAGGGTAGTTAATAAAGAAGCTTGTCGTTTGGGGAGTTAGATGTCCAGAGTAGTTGTCCTAAAAGCATCTCTGGCTCCTACTACCCACCTTAGAAACAGACCCAATTTTTAAAAAAGAAATATAAACACAGTTAGCCCTTTTATTTTTGTTTAATTTTGGCATTATGTCATTGCCAAGAGCTCTCTGGTGGCAAACCCACCAGCACAAGCAAAGAAGTAACCCACCAGTTAGGAAAACTATTTTTATTTAGAGTTGCTACTTTGTTATACAGTAGTTAAAAGTTTTTTAATCAAATAATCCTCAAAGCAGCCTAGTTCAAGATGTTAATTGCCTTACAACTTCATTTAATAAACTAAATTTTTCTCTTATAAACAGCAACCCTCCCTCCCAACTTGTGAAATCAAAATCATTTTCCAGCTTGTGTGGAAAAATGATGACACCAAAATCCTATCAAATAATCATGAGAAGCAATGGCAGCGCTATTGCTTCTCTTTTAAGTCTTGATATGATAAATACCAATAAATATAATAACCCATCATTTTTAAAACTGAGAAAGGTCCGGGAAGGAAAAAAAAGTTAAGAAACACCGGGATAAAAGAAAATGACATAAAACTGGAGCGGAAGCAGTGAATGAGGACGAATTAGGCATGTCTTGGGAAGGGCCTTTTTCTCCTCAAACATTTCCTTTTTGTACCCATATCGTGGTTGTCCGGGTTTGACCAACTCTCGTTTTTGAACATATTGTATATTTGACGAAATACCATAGAAAACGTTGCTTCCGGTGCGTTCGGATACCTGAGGCGAACGAGCAACGAGTTTAAAGTCGAATGTAAAATCAGGGTTTTATAATGTAGTTTCACGAAAACAAACACACGCAGTGTGACAAAAGCAAGATTTTAATTTCTAAATTAAAAATGGCCAAATTGGGTTATTTTTTCCCCCATCATCAATTGCTCGGAGGGGGAATATCTTAGAAATTATTTTGTTTTTTAAATAGAGTCCGCTTTACAATTGCTCCTATGTAATCTCTCCCCGAAATAAACGAACGCTCAACCATCAAACGGGGAAAAGGAAAAGGGGCAAATAGACTAAACCACTTCGACCGTTAAGGGGGAAAATTCCCTGTTTTAATGCTTGCCTATGCTATGCTGTTTCCTTATAAGCAAAAAAAATTGCAGAGAAGAAAAAGAGATGACGTTACAAGTCTTTTCTTTTTCACGCTCGGTTTCTATTTCCTTTTATTTTTAAATTCGTAAACGTTCAAAATAGGTTATCCTCTCTAAGGGACAGGATGGTTCGGCCTTTAGCGTCCAACTATTAAAACCACGCTGCCGGTAGGTAGGCGGGGTTTGCTTTGAAAATAAATCTCCAACAGGTTTTTCGCGATGTTCACGCTTGGCGAACCCTTCTTTTCCCGTCAATTCGCGCTTTGCCCCACCTCCCTTCTGTCTTCGCTCCCTTTGATTGGTTTGCGTTGCGGCCGTTGACTAAGCGCCGCCCTCCATCTCCGCTCTTGTGTTTGTGCCCGTCAATCACGTTCCGGACGGAAAAGCAAGAAAAGTAGCAATTGTGGTTTGGGGGATTTCTATCACTTTAATTGTTTATTGCGCCTTTCCTCGCCCAAGGAGAGCTCCTTGAGGTGACAGGTGTTTCTTTTAAAGAAGCAAGGATAATTTCCAGAAAAAAGGCATTGCTTTCTTTCCAGTAGAGATGTAATTGAATCAAGCGTGGCTTTCATGCATTTCTTACATTTAATATTTTAGTTAGAAATTGGCATCTATTGCATTTTACTTCTTTACTGCCTTGCACGGGTTGGCTCCAGTTTTGCTCCAGACATAATGTCCTGACTGAATTCAGGATTTAGCGTATTGATCCATTTTTATGATTTTGCTCACTGGCTTGATTTGGAAGCATAAAGCACTTCATAATGCTGCAGCATGAAGAAGTATTAATGTACACCGAAGTTCAACCCTTCCAGGAATAGAAAGTAAGAGTCAATAAAAGGGAGCTGAATATGCAGAGTGCTTCCCATATCCATGAATATTTCCAGGTGGATGAGCCAGGTAGGCTTGCGTTAGTAATGTGGGATCAAGTGTATGTAATCTCAGCCTTGTAAAGGGGATAGGGAAAATCCACATTTGCTTAACAAATCATACACCTACACAATAGCACATGCAATTCATGATTAGACATACAATAGCACCATACTGCTTCATTTAGAAAGAAGTACTGTAAGATCAGATTGCAGTTTACAATATACTATTGCAAAATTGTTCAGGCAAATGGATTTATATCAAAAGCAGATTTTTCATAAAAATAGAAATGTGCAGCAGAGCTTCATGAATATTCACACAATCACCCCATTGGAATCAGTAAGATATATTCATGAATATGAATGGGATTACCGATGGGGTTTCCAAAATTCACTGATTGTCTGGAGATCCTGGAGAAACTTTTACTGTGAAATATATATGAATAAAGTAGGGTTTTAAGAAAAGATTAGACAGCCAGAATGGTTCCTGCTGCTTGAGCACCTTTGAAAAAAGTATCTTTGGGGCTTGAGCAGGAAGTTGGAATGGAAGATTCTTTCTTTCTTTCTTTCTTTCTTTCTTTCTTTCTTTCTTTCTTTCTTTCTTTCTTTCTTTC